GAAAGAGTGCGTACATAGGATTTGTAGATTTAGAGAAAGCTTTTGACAATGTTAAATGGGACAAGATGTTAAATATACTTAAAAATGTAGGTATGAATTACAAAGATAGAAGAGTGATACTTAGTTTGTATAAAGAGCAACAGGCAGTTATAGAGCTAGGGCTGCAACGTAGAGAAGTCAATATTAGGAAAGGAGTCAGTCAGGGGTGCACACTATCACCGCTACTTTTTAATCTATATATCGAAGATGCGATCAACGTCACTAAAGACAGTACAGCTGTAGGGATAGATATACAGGGGCAAAAGATTAGTATGCTTAGATTTGCATATGATATAGCAGTATTAGCATCTAGCAAAGAGGACTTAGAGATAGCTTTAAAGATAAGTACGAAAAAAAATAAAAGTAAAACTAAAATACTGGTATGCAAGGGAAGAAAAAGTAGGGAAAGAGCGAATATAAAGATAGGAAACGAAAAATTAGAAGAAGTGGCTGATTTTAGATATCTAGGAAGTCAGATAAGTCAGGATGGAAGGAGTAGTAGGGATATAAAGCAGATGATAGCGCAAGGTCATCTCGTCTTTAATAAAAAGAAGTCACTTCTATGCTCGCGAACGGTTAATTTAGATAAGGTTGTTAAAAGTGTATGTTTGGAGCGCGGCGCTGTACGGGTGCGAAACACGGAAAAAAAAAGGTGAGAAGCGTTTGAATAGTGGTGTTACAGGCGAATGATGAGAGGCGACGCTAAAAACCGCAAGACTCCGTAGCTCTTGCGCAGGCGCGAAATAATTTTGAGTCATGTCTATGATTTTGCTCTTGCCGCCTCTTTATTCGAATTCAAACAAACGATCTCAAGCGTTCTGATCTGAGGAGTAGAAATAAACTGGGCAGTAATCTACTAATAGTTGATAACGTAGGCAGAAAAATGATACTCATATACAATGTAAACGCATTCTTTATTAATATGAATGGAAAATAAAATAAAAGATAAAAAATTATTTCAACAAATTTATAATGCAAAATAAATACATAATAAACATGATTAATNTTGTAAATCAAACTTCTATTTATTTAATAAAGAATTAATGCTTAAATACAGAATAGTTTGCGTTTGATCATACAAAATACTGCTAGTAATCGTATGTATTTGATTACTAAATAACGAATAAAAAGTATCCGATTGTCTGAAACTTCGCTCCATCTCCTTTGTTGTACCACAATTCTGATCGCTAAGGCATGTCCATCATTTGTAAATTAAATTTATTTTTTAAATAATTAAAAAAATGGTTCAGTACTGTTTCATCTGCAAATGGAAAGCTAATAAAGAACCTCGAAGATCATTTCACAAGTAAGTTATTAAATATAAAAATTTTAGGTTATGTACATTTATGGCAAATAATTTTGGTTGCTTATTAATTATTGAAATTGTATTGTTTCTGAATAACGTTTTTAATGTATTATTTTTTTATTTAACATAGATTTCCTTCTGGAGAATCGGACAAAAAAAAATGGCTAAATATTATCGGAAAAGACGATGTAAATGTGGGTAAGCGGGCATCAGTATGTTCGATTCATTTCAAAAAGTCTTGTTTTCGTTATGGATTAGTCAACAACAGAGAAATGCTGAAACCCAAAAGTGTTCCATCGTTATATTTGGTCAAAACAACAGGTAATAATTAATCAAATGTTTTCATTCAGAATTTAATACAAATAGGTCATAAAACTTCTTTTACGTCAATTTTGAATGCAGATATTTCAGAAATAGTAAAAGATGACCTACCTTGCACTGAATCGTCTTTACAAGATTGTATTGATGTAGATTATAATGATGTTGCAGCAAATACTCGTTTAAATGAAAATGTATCAGTGATTCCAGAAAGGTAAAGATATTTATTATATTTGCGATTCCGAAATTAACAAGCAGTTGACAAAAATGAATTTTTCAACCATTAACTAATTGATATGTCCAATAATTTTTTAATTAACTGCACATTGATGTTTCAGGGAACATAAAAGAAGCATTTCACTTAAAAAAAATTAATGAATAATTATTTTTAAAATTTATTTTTGTCTATTTTCAATGTCGTATTATATTTTTTTATTATAGATCATTATTTTCATGATTTGTAATATACAATCAATTTTTTTAGAGACACATCAACATCATTTATAGATAAAAAAGAAGTCTCAGATGATATCACGTGTACCGTCGATGTAGCTGCTTATAGAAAAATAAAAAATCAATTAATGCAAGAAAAAAGAAAAAATTTTAATTTAAAACGAATGGTTTCCCGAATGAGACAACGAAAGGACTTATTAAAAAAACAAAATATCGCTTTAAGGAAGAAAAGTGAAGATAAGTGTATTGAAAATAAACTATTACATGTAAGTATTGCAATCGCAGGAAAATTGAAATCCAGAAAATCCAAAAAATAAAGCCCAGTA